CAGCCACCCCTTGTGTCTTTCTGCCTGAGGGCATCACTTGCCACTGGCACCTGCTTTGCCACCCTGCAGCAGACCTGCAGTGCTGGTGGATTAACACATCCAGGGCACAGCTCTCAATCAATGCCTGATAAATAGCCCTACTTCCACTCCCCTCGCCCAGTAGGCATGCTCCACTCTGGCTCTCAGGGCACCCCAGCAGGACTGAGCGCCTCTTGTCCACAGTGGTCACTTGCTCGATAACACCTCCTTTCCTGTCTCCCTTCCTCAGGCCCCTACCAGTGCTTCCTGGGACCACTTCCAATGTAACCCACTTGCACTTGGGGTCTGCTATCGGAGAACCCAAACGAAAATTGGCCTCTGGTATAGCAGGTTGAGAGGTAGTATAACATGGTGGTTGGGGACACAGGCTTTGTAGCCAATGTCTGGGCTCAGCTCTGGTTCTGTTGTTTCCTAGGGCAAGTGACTTAACTATTCTGTACCTGTGTTTCATCATCTGTAAAGAAGGTGTTCTATAGGGTGATCTGGAGGATTAAATATGACACATAAAGTAAGCACTCGGTAAATGTTTGCAGTTATTTCTAATAGTGTTCAAACATAGAAGGAAGCGTGGTCCTGAGAACTGAGTACCCTGCTTTCAGCCTGTCCTGCCCTCCAGCTGAAGGTAAACCCTTGGCTGCCTGCCCTCCCCACATCCCCCCACTGCCACGGGGGGTTGGCCAGCTCCGCCACCGACTGTCTCTGCTCTCTAAGAATAGGTTTCCCTGACAGATGGCATCTCTCTGGATCCTGCCAGAGCATCTGCTGCCTCCAACTGCTCACTCCAGGGAGGAAGGCGGTGTGGACCTTGCTGAGGAGCCGAGTGCTGGCTTCCAGCAGACCTGAAAGGAGTCCCCACTCGGCTCCTTCCTAAGATCAGTAAAATGGGCTTTGCCAAAGGGCACACAGTAGGCACTCCATAAATGCTGGTTCCTTAAACAGCACAGTGGTTTAGCATGTTTGTTTATTAAGCATCTGCCACATTCCTGCAAAACCTTCTGGGACTGTAAATAATAACTTAATTTTAAAAATATTTTTTATTGGTTTGAGAGAGAGCGAGCGAGAGAGAGAGACATCGACGTGACAGTGTAACATCGATCAGCTGCCTCTGAGCCCGCAATCTGAGCATGTGTCCTGACTGAAAATCAAACCAACAACCTTTTGGTGCACTGGACGATGCCCAACCAACTAAGCCACACCAGCCAGGGTTGTAGACAATAACTTTTAAATTAATAATATGTACACATAGTACAAAATTTAAATGGTATAAAAGTTGTGTAATAGAAAAGTCAGGTTCCATCCTACAACCCGAGCTCCTCCCCTCTTGCCAGGGCCACTCACTGTTAGCACTTTCCAGTACTGCCTTCCAGAGATATTCCATGCACAGCCCCCTGTCCTTGTCTCATAAGAACCTATTACATTACACTGTCATCTCAACAACTTTAGCATTTCCTCTCTGTCCTCTGCATTGTTAGTTTCTCTTTGATTAATAATCTGATATGCGTTCTTTCTTTGAGCTGGTTCCCTCAACTCAACCCCTACCCCCCAAATATCTTGGGCAGATCCTTACTGTAATGAGCATGAAGATGAACCACCCTAGATATCCTGAGCCTTATCAGAGACAACACCCAACATTCAGGCTCACGGAACACCAAGTGAAAGAGGAAAGACAAAGCCGAAGGTAATTGGGGCCCTTCTGCTGCTCTGCTCCCAAATTAGAGATCTTTCAGTGAACCTATATGAGAGCAGTGATTCACAGGCTGAGATGCCAAGAAATTGCCTCATGATGCTTGTTGCTCCCACCTTCCACGGGCTCTAGGAAGGACCCAGGAGATGGTGTTTCTTTCTATATTGTTCACTTCTCCCACTCCCACGAGTGCATTTTGGGTTTATAAGAATCAGGCTTTAAACTTAAACCAGAACATTGTGCTGTGCTCCACTTCCTGGAACGAACCCCACCTGTCCACAATCTGTGACTTCAGATAGGTTTCTTGTTTTAATGGATTAGAGAGTATTTATTTAAAAAAAAAAAAAAGTCATTCCCCCCTCTCCCCTTGTCAGATTCATAGGAAGAGAGTGTGTCTTGCTTCAGCCTTGAAGAGCATTTTGGGTGAGAAGTTTAATTTTAACCAAAAAGTATCCTGAAGGACTCACTCTTGTGAGCTGGAGGCCACACGGTCAGGCGGAGGACAGAGGGAAAGCTGGGTGTTCTTCTGAGTATTATTTTTAATTGAGTTTAGAGAAAGGAAGGGGAGAGAGAGAGAGAGAGAGAAGAGAGAAGAGAGAGATCTGTTGTTCCACTCAGTTATGCATTCATTCATTGACTCTTGTATGTGTCCTGACCAACCCCACAACCTTGGTGTATCAGGATGACGCTCCAACCAACTGAGCTATGTGGCCAGGGCTCTATTGTTTTTAGAGGGGGCTTTCTAACGGAGGGCTCCCCATTTTCTGTACAGGTCTCTGCTCAAAGCTGCTGCAGAAATCACGATTTTATACATAAGACAGGAAACAGAGGCTATGGCAGCCGTGGGCAAACTACGGCCTGCGGGCTGGATCCGGCCCATTTGAAATGAATAAAACTATTGAAAAAAAAGACCGTACCCTTTTATGTAATGATGTTTACTTTGAATTTATATTAGTTCACACAAACACTCCATCTATGCTTTTGTTCTGGCCCTCCAGTCCAGTTTAAGACCCCATTGTGGCCCTCGAGTCAAAAAGTTTGCCCACCCCTGGGCTATAGGGTCTCTTTTAGAAACCTTGTTCTCACTGCTCTTCCGGGCTTCTCCCTTCAGCCTCTGTTCGTGGGCTGCATACCAGCTGAGAGAAGGGTCAGGGACAGGCCTCATCAGCTCTTTTAGGTTACCTTTTATGTGTGTCATGAACCCCTTTGGCATCTGGTGAAACCGATGGACCCTTCTCTTAATGCTGTTTTTAAAACCTATAAAACAAAATACATAGGATTTTAAAAAGGACAACAATTACATTGAATTTTGAAATAATCAAAATAGTTTTAAATATATTTTTATTGATTTCAGAGCGGAAGGGAGAGGGAGAGAGAGATAGAAACATCAATGATGAGAGAGAATCATTGATTGGCTGCCTCCTGCATGCCCCACAGTAGGGATCAAGCCCACAACCCGGGCATGTGCCCTGACCCGGGAATCAAACCGGTGACCTCTTGGTTCTTGGGTCGACACTCCACCACTGAGCCACATCTGGCTGGGCCACACTTTTTTTTTTTTTTTTTAATTTTATTAAAGAACAATGGTCCAAAACTACCATGATTTCATAGATGCAATAGCACAAATAATCTCACAATACCTGCAGCAACTGTAGCAGGATATGGAAATAGCTGTGATTTCTATTGGTGATAAAGTCCCAGCTACTGCTAATAGGCCTCTGGTTTGTTGTCAACATTTAGAATCGATGAAAATGTTACATTGCAGTCAGAGGCTAGTGAAAATATGGGTGTAATTTTTTTTTCTCCTGTCTAAGTTCATGGATTTCAGATTCAAAATTCCTACTTGAGAGTTATCTTCCCAGTCTGACCACATGGCAGCTGCCATTATTTAGCAAACCCTGAGCACGGAATAATGAAAATAATGGCTAATGCTGGCTGATCCCATACTTAGTAAGTACTAAGTACACGGTGATATTGGAGACTAAGATTCAGCAATGAAAGAAGCCAGTTCCTGCCCAACCAGGGCTAACAAATGAATATGTAAATAAGATGATTCCAAAATGGTAGGTGCTATGAAGTCAATAGTACAGAACAGTGTAATAGAATGGCTTAGAAGGGAGAACGAAAAGGTCTGTTTTCCAGGGAAAGGTTCTCTAAGGAGGTGATGTTTGCTCTGAGACCTGAATCATGAGAGAGTCGTGCACAGATGTGGATGGAAAAAGGGTGATTGGCCACAGGCAATTTTGCCTTGTAAAGATAAAATAACTGGTTAACAGTTTGGTGTTGGTTTTTTTTTTTTGTTTGGTTTCATTTCTCCATTGTTTTCAGACTTAGTAAATTTCATTTTTTCATTGGTTTCAGACTTCATATATTTAAGCTAGTTATTAGTTTGGTTTCATTTCTCCATTGACAAAGTTCTCACAATTACTTCCATTTTTATATTACAGTAGTTCCCCCTTATCCAAGGAGGATATATTCCAAGACCCCCAGTGCATGCCTGAAACCGAGGATAGTACTGAATCAGTCATATATATACATATATATACACACATATACATATATACATATACATATATATATATGATGTTTTACCCTATAATTGCCTATGGTAAAGTTTAATTTATAAATTATACACAGTAAGAGATGAACAATAATTAAAAATAGAACAGTTATAACAATATACTGCAATACAAGTTATCTGAATATGGTTCTCTCTAGTAATTTTTATAGTTCTCATTCTAAACCTATTTCTGAACCTGTATAATTATCCGTTACTTGCAGTAAATGGTTTGGTGTCACTCATTTCAGGAGATCACTTCTGAAGTCTTTGTATAGGCGTAAAGCTTTCTGGCCCAACACATTGTCATCAGTCGGAACACGTTTCCTGTTCATGTCTTCCACCCACAAATGTAATGCCTTTTACAGTTAACTAAGCACTTATGCACTGTGGCCATAACTTTTGCAGTTTGAGGTGCAACAGCAAAATTAGCATAAATTTTTCGTTTTTTAAAGTTCTTTTTAAAAATTATTTTATTGACTTTTAGAGAAAGCGAGAAACATCGATTTGTTGTTTCGCCCATATATGCGTTCCTTGGTTGCTTCTTGTATGTGCCCTGACCAGGGATTGAATCCACAACCTCAGCGCATTGGGACAAGGATCTAACCAACTGAGCTACTCAGCTAGGGATATTAGCACAAATTTCTTTTTCCTTTTTCATAACCGGAGGATATTTTTGAGAGAGAATTTTAGAGAGAGAGGGAAGGAGAGAGGGAGGGAGGGAGAGAAATTGATGTGAGAGAGACACATCGATAGATTCCCTCATGCACGTGCCCAGACCAGGTACATGCCCCCGACTGAGAACTGAGCTTGAAACCCTTCAGTGTGCGGGTTGATGCTCTAACCACTGAGGAGTACTGGCCAGGGCAGATTCATTCTTACCATAGGTCTTGGCAACCTCAGCATACGATTTTTCTTCATTTCTTATTAAGTTGAGGACTTTCACCTTTTCACCTAAAAGAAGCACTTTATGGCTTCTCTTTGGCATAACCGAATTGCCAGCATCACTACTCTTGTGCTTTGGGGTCATTCTTAAGTAAAATGAGGCCTACTTGAACACAAGCACTGCGATACCAGAACAGGCTCTGATAATTCAGATGGCTACTAAGTGACAAATGGGCAAGGAGTCTATCCAGCATGGAGATGCTGGACAAAGGGATGATTCACAGCCTTGTGGGACAGAGCAGGACAGCATGAAATTTCATTCACTACTCAGAATGGTGCACAATTTAAAACTTAGATAAGTTTATTTCTGGGATTTTCCATGTAATATTTTGGACCACGGGGAAACAAAATTGGATGAGGAGGGCCTGTATACATAAACCTTAGCTAGCTCTCATGATACAGTGACAAACAGACTTGGTGGTGGTCTTCAAATAGTTACCGTTTCTTCCCGATGACAGTGATTCGCCCCAAGAGTTGGTTTCTTATTTTGAAAGACGTTACCTTGGAGAAAACCAAGTGGAGGCCCTCTTTGAGGGAGAAGAAAGGAACACACATTTCCCATAGAATGAAGACAAGTGCTTAGGTACAATCCACACAAAAAATAAAATCCGTTACTTGCGCAGTATTGCCATGAATCTACACATATTTTGTTGTTAATCCTCACCTGAGAATATTTTTCTCCACTGATATTTAGAGAGAGTGGAAGGGAGTGAAGGGGAAGAGAGAGAGAGAGAAACATTGATGTGAGAGAGACACATCGATTGGTTGTCTCCTGCATGTTCCCCTACCGGGGCTAGGGATTGAACCTGCAACCCAGGTATGCGTCTCTGACCTGGAAGCAAACCTACGACCCTTCAGTGTGAGGGCCGACGCTCTCACCACTGAGAAACACTGGCCAGGGCCATTATGTCCTTTTTTAAAAATTTTGTTTTTTATTGTCATTATGTCCTCTCTAATGTTGTGATTTTATCTTTTTTATGGCAAAATTGCCTTATGGTCAATGAGTTTTACAGCGAAAATGTTTGTGGCAGAAATGCTTGCCACAAATATGCTTCAGTGAAAGTATCTAGAACCATTTACAGTATAGGATCTGCAAAATACACAGACCTGGAGAAGGGAACCAGCTGAAAGCTTTCCAGGGCTGGCAGGAGGCCTGAGTGCTGAGGCAGAGTGCAGGGTGGGGCTTGTTGGAGCACTGGAGCTGAAGTCCCAGGGGCTGGTGTGTCCATCAGGCAGGCTTTGTGGGCCAGAGTAAAGGGTTTGAGTTTTCTAAGTATGAAGACAGCCTTTGGCAGGTTTAAGCAGAGGAGTGATGTGATGCTAATTTACATTTTAGAAAGACCCAGCTATGAGTGGAGAAGAGTGTAGGGGGCCAGGCTGGCAGCAAAAATCTATTGAGGAAGCCCTGCAATGGTCCACGTGAGAGACTATGACTGCCTGGGCCAGGGTGGGGCCGTGAGATAAAGAGAAGTGGCAGATCTGGGGTATAATTTTGGGAGACTCAGCAGCCCAGAGCTGTGGGGGTGAGGAAGGGGGGTGTAGTGACTAACCCTGATGTTCCCCCTTCTCAAGCCTCCCCCCACCACCTTGTCCCCCACCTTGCCTCCTCAGCCCCCTACAGCTCTCCATGGCCCCTCTGGGGCCTGCTACCCGCCCACCAGGCCCCTGGTGTTCTGGCTTCCCAGCTGGTCCCAATTGTTGTCACTCCCCAGGGAGTCATGGGAACACACACCCCCTCCTCCCTCAACCCCTCTCCCAGACAAGGCCAGGCCCTAACAATGCCCCCTCAGCCAGCCAATGGCCTGGACACAAGACCCCTGATTCTATTCATTGCCAGCTCCAGGAGGCCTGCTGGGATTCCTGGCCTGTTTGGCATATATATAACTCTGGCTTCCAGGAGGGATTTGTTGTTGTTGTTAAAAAAAATACACACAACTCTGCCTCCTCTTCTCTGGATCTCTTAATATATTATAAAAAGCCTTTCTCTTCCCATCCTGAGCCCTCTCTACTCCCTTTCCTGAATGCATTTGGCATGTGCCCGTCAATCCAGGACCAAATGCAGGTCAGCAGGTGCCAGTGAGAAAATGAGAAAAAGAAAGAAAAGCTGCTCACTCCACCGTGGCCAACCTCGAATGTGCTGGTGAGGATGAAGATCACGAGACTAATCTGAGAGCTTATGACATGGCAGGCACTGTGCCCAGCGCTTTTTGTACACCATATCTCATTACTTCTGAGACTCCATTGAAGATGAGGTGCAACATTATTTTGAGCCCCTGAGAAAGAAAAAAGCTACTGAGCAAAAATGGACATCATGTAGTCCCAAGTTTCTATGGAAGGAATTATAACAAACATCTTACAAGAAAATACGTAAATATGTATTGTATGCATGAAAAGGACTGGAGAGTACCCTAGCGGGTTTGGCTCAGTGGATAGAGCGTCGACCTGCGGACTGAAGGGTCCCAGGTTCGATTCCAGTCAAGGACACATTGCAGGCTCGACCCCCAGTAGGGGGTGTGCAGGAGGCAGCCGATGAATGATTCTCTCATCATTGATGTTTCTATCTCTCTTACCCCTCTCCCTTTCTCTCTGAAATCAGTAAATATCCTATATAATAAAAGCCTAATATGCAAATCGACCCAATGGCAGACTGACAGGTGGAACGACCAGTCACTATGACGCACTGACCACCAGGGGGCAGACGCTCGATACAGGAGCTTCCCCCAGCCCACAGAACCCAGGCCAGCCAAGGCGGGTGCCAGCAGGGCCCCCACCTTGATTGCCCCACCGGTCACCCCATAGATTGGCCCTGATCACCTGCCAGGCCCAGGGACCCTACCCATGCACAAATTTTGTGCACTGGGCCTCTAGTGTATATATATATATATACACTAGAAAAGGACTGAAGAGAAACATCGCAAAATACTACCCTGTTCTCTCTGAGGGGCAGAACTGGGAAATTTATATCAATTTCCTGTACACATTTCTTTTGAGGATTTCTTTTTTTTTTTTTCTTTTGAGGATTTCTTATATATATTTATATTTATATATATATTTTTTATTATTATTGATTTTTTACAGAGAGGAAGGGAGAGGGATAGAGAGTTGGAAACATTGATGAGAAAGAAACATCGACCAGCTGCCTCCTGCACACCCCCCACTGGGGATGTGTCCACAACCAAGGTACATGCCCTTGACTGGAATCAAACCCGGGACCCTTCAGTCCACAGGCCGACGCTCTATCCACTGAGCCAAACCAATCAGGGCTCTTTTGAAGATTTCTACAGGCTCTGGAACATTTGTGTTCAGGTGAACAAAAATTTCAATCCTCATCACAGGTCCTTCCTCCACTTTTAAAATTATGATGCTTCATCTAAACTTTCACATTCTTTTATCTTAAAAAAGGAAGTATCGCCAAAACCGTTTGGCTCAGTGGATGGAGCGTCGGCTTGCGGACTGAGGGGTCCCGGGTTCGATTCCGGTCGGGGGCATGTACCTGGGTTGCGGGCACATCCCCAGTAGGAGGTGTGCAGGAGGCAGCTGATGGATGTTTCTCTCTCATCGATGTTTCTAACTCTCTGTCTCTCTCCCTTCCTCTCTGTAAAAAATCAATAAAATATATTTTAAAAAATAAAAAAAATTTTAAAAAAAGGAAGTATCAACCCAAATATTCTTCTTTTTTTAATTTTTTTAAAAAATATATTTTATTGATTTTTTACAGAGAGGAAGGGAGAGAGATAGAGAGTTAGCTGCCTCCTGCACATCCCCCACTGGGGAAGTGCCCGCAACCCAGGTACATGCCCTTGACCGGAATCGAACCTGGGACCTTTCAGTCCGCAGGCCGACGCTCTATCCACTGAGCCAAACCGGTTTCAGCACAACCCAAATATTCTTAAAATGCCCTTTCTAGATTCATTCTACTTCAGTTATATGTTTTCCAACTACTTCTATAGCTGTGAAGTTTGGTCTTTTATACATTTCCTAAGGCTATGCTTTTACAAGTGACATAATTATTCTTTTGGGTAGTACAAACTGTGCTTTTGGAGGGTTGTAAAGTATTGGCTGCCTCAAGATTTATGACAAATTCTGAATGGTCTCTTGGTGATCAACAGTGATGACTGTCCCCAAGGAGATGAAATCCCATCTGTCACAATACTGATTCTGGAGTTGAATGTGTTCCTGGCCCCTCAAGCAATCAGCATATGCCCCAAAATAGCTTTGTAGAAAGTACAAAGTGATCATTGACAGAGGTCAGGCCCTTTACATATTAAAAGTTCTGGGTCACAGGTATATTTCAAAGCAGAGCCTGGAATGGTAACATCTTTCAAACTGTCAAGGAAGGCCCTTCAAACTAATCAAGTTTAATATGAATAAGGTAGTTTCCATTTTGGCATCATTTCTCTTTGTGGATGCAGCATTTTGAAAATTCAAATAGCCTGCAATCTAAATCCCAGAGGACCACATTGAGGGTGACCTTGAAAACACTGCTGAATTTGCCATTTACTTAAGCAGATGGGATCCCTCCTCACTCCCCTACCCCCAAGGACTTAAACAAGAAATGATGTTAACTATCTATATATATAAAAGGCTAATATGCAAAGTGTCCCCTCAGGAGTTCGACCAGGAGACTGGGAGTTCTATCACTTGCTATGACGTGAGCTGATGACCAGGGGGTGGCACAAAACAGCAGCAGCCATGAGGCGCTAAGGGAGTGAGAGAAGGAGGAGGTGAGGAGGTAAGGAGGTGGGGAACCTGATTGCTGGCCAGGCCTAGGGACCCTACCCATGCACAAATTTCATGCACCAGGCCTCTAGTAGGGTTAATAATAGGAGGAGGGGAGAGAATTAACTTTAATCATTACTAACGAAACTTTTGAGAGGAAAGATGTACACATATTCTCAAGTGGCTGTGACTGGACCTGCAAATCAAAACCCTTATCAATTTTCGTTTTGTTTTGTTTTGCAGAAAGGAAAACACAAACTGTGAGGGTCCTTTATACTGAGCTACATTTAGAAACAATCAACTTTTAAAGAGAAGTTTATTTCTTGTATATGACCTGGAATTCTTCCCGTCTGAAAACAGGTGCAGAAATGGCTACCTCCAAGTGAGTTGCATAAACATATTTCTTGAGGGTGTTTTTCTTCCCTCTCAGATACTTGTTTTTATTTAAGATTGTTACATGGTCAATGAAATGCTAACTTCTATTCCAGTCTTTGCTGGAAGGAAGTGCTTATTCATTAATTGGAAAGAAAAGGAAAGAACCCAACTGGTTAAACTAACCACTTTCTGTTTTCAACATCATCTGCCAGAAATAATGTCTGGCATTATGAGGGGGAGAAAAACAAATACAGTTGGAGATTTGAGAAAAATCAATTCATTTTAGCATTATGTTACTTTTATGAAGGAAAATTAAAAAAAACAAAAAAAACAAAGAAGTGGTTGTGAATCACAACCCCAGGTATTAAAATATGAAATGTTTGCTTATCTTGGTTCCTGAGTTCTGCCTTAGCCAAAAGTTAGTTTTCCTGGAAGATATATAAAGACCCTTGGATTTCTAGAAAACTTTTTAGTGAATGTGTCATTATCCTTAACAGGACTCTGATGGTTCTCTAAATGTTACAGCTACTTCCCTAAATTAGTTTTTATTTTTGTAAGAACATAGTTTATGCATTAAAAAGAAGTGCTTTCAAATTCTTTCTTGGTCAATAGCTTTATTCTCTCTCGTTTTGGGTTTTTTTTTTTTTTTTTTTTTTAGTAATATAACTAAGAAACAAAGGAAAACAACTTTGAAATTCTATTAAAATAAAACTATTTTTTGTATATAGTAGAGCCGTGTCTAGTGAATATTAATTTGTTGATTAATACTGATTGCATGTAGGGTTCTACCACAAAATAAAAAATAAAATCTTGTAAAAGTCATTCATTTATATTTAATTGTTCAGCAGGTTGTTCAAAGCTCAGAAAATATTTCATATTCTAAAAAGAAAATTGCTAATTCTGTCTCTTCCCTGGCAGTTTCAGTGGCAAGGAATTGTTTCTTACAATTCAACTTCCTTTTCTTCTGTGGTCTTCAGAATGTGGAATTGATCTGGTCACAACTGCTGCAGGATAATGCTAATAAAATGGTTCCTAGGACAGAAGTTAACTTTCTTTTTTTCTTTCCTGTTTTTTCAAACTTTATTACTTTTTAAAGTGAATTAATTAATTTTACATTTTTATTATATTTTAGTATAGTTTTGAGTTTACACACACACACACACACACACACACAATAAGAGGTACAGAGATTTCCCATACTCTCCCTTCCCCCACACATGCATAGCCTCCTGCATTATCAATAACCAACCATTTGGTATATTTGTTATAATTGATGAACTTGACACATCATAATTGTCCAAAGTTCACAGTGTAAGAGTTCACTCTTGGTGTTATACATTCTGGTTTGGATTAATACTTTCTGTTTAAAATATAAAAATTTGCTATAAAATCACAAGACTTACCTGATCCTTGTTATGAACAGAAACAATTTTGGATTGATGTATCTGAAGTTTTCATCAGTTAAAGTGTCTTGAAGTTCTTAATATTTTAAGGCAATTTATTTAACAAGAACAATCTCTGTAAATTAACTTTAAAGTTAATCAGAATTCCTCAAAATTTGTGGTGTTTTTGAAGTTGAAGTTGCTCGTCACTTGGTGGACAGGGGATTTTATAAGGATTTGAATTAGAAAATACTAATGGATACTATCTTCAAAAATTGTCATTCTTTTGAATTGAAATTTGCCCCCTTGTAGTTAATACTTACAGAACACCCTGGATGTTTTGTTTATCCACCATTAGATCCAGATTTTCTATGTAAAAGGAGCCTTTGAACAGCAATTCGGTTAAAAGAAACAGCTACCTTTGTATAAGTATGCTGTTTTAATTTTAAGTGTAGATTATTATGCTTTGGGGGACAAGGCTATGGAGGAGGTATTTAGGCATTGAGGGGACACTGGCACTGTCATTCCAGTTCTCGCTGCAGCTACTGCCAGATAGCTAACATATGTACAGTATTAAAACCGAATCATTACCATGTGTTTTATGATTATATTTTAAAGCTAATGAAGGTCTTTCACCTATAATTGCATCTATTCGTTCGATACTGAACACAAATGTGGTGAAGGCGGGGAAAGGACGGTGGAATTGCACTTTAAGGTCCTGTTTGGTTAAACCTAGTCAGGAGACGCTAAAAGAGCAACATTCTGGCTCTAAGAGCAATTCTTACAGCATCCTTAGCAACCAGTCTTGGTCCCCAGCAACCCTGAGTGCTGCGGTGAGTTTGTGTGTGACTGCTAGGTTTTGCTTCTGAGGACCTGAGTTACAGTTATCGCCACACTTACCACCCTGGGCAACCGGGAGATCCACAAAACCCCACACATGGGAGCACTGAGCCTACTTTTTTAGGGTTCCATGGATCTGGCTGTTGGAAGAACCTTCCATTACTCGCGCCCCTAGGCAGGCCAGCCCGCTGGACAGTTTTCAAGTCCATGTATAGTAGGTGAAATTGCCCCTCCCATTCTCTCTCTCACTCTCTCCCCCCCCACCCCCCTTCAAAAATTTGAAGTGTGTGTGTGTGGGGGGGGGGGGGGGGGAGGGGGGGGGGTCACTGAGGATGTGAAATGCAATTTTTTTTTAAAGGCAATCTTGAGAAGGTGGCACAAGTTATTGACTAGGAAAAATTTCTAGGAGGAGGTGAGATGATTATAGGATTCCCTTATTTACCTTATTTCAACAATATGTCTGAATTATATCTTTTTTTGGTGGTCTTTGGTCCAATTATCCTGTATTTCTTAAGATTATAGTCTAAATCTTACATTCTATAATGCAGGTTACCTATCCAAAGGCTTTGCTATGATTTTTAACATTGTCCAGTTCTCAGGAAAAAAAATTTTTTTTAACAAGTGTACCTTTTCTAACCTTATTTAACTGGAACTTTAACAAAAATACACTAGGGATTAATGTTGAAATCTCTTTTTTTAAAATTCTGGGTCTATGCCAGGTGGCAAATGAACTGCCAAGCACCAGACTGCTTGCTGGAGCCATTTCATCAACTGAAACATCCCTCTTCAGTGCATATATGTTCTTTGTTCTGATGTCTCAAATAACTTTTTTTTTTTCATATTCGCAGTAAATTTAATTTTTTTTCAGTTGGTTCCCAAGTGAATCATTAACAGTTGAGCAGTTTCATACTGATCATCGGAAGGTGATGTTCCTGCTTTGTTTTTCCCCCCATCTCTTTCCAAAGTCATTTCTGTCTATGTTAATAATTTAAGACAAGGAATTAGAGGACACTTGATAAAATGCTTTTTGCTGAACTCCCCGAATAGTACTTTGTTTTTCTACTTGATTCTCACAAGGAAAAGAGTAAATAATGTGGAGGGATGTGAGCTTTATAGCTGTGGGGTCACTGGAACAAGTGTGATCTGGGGAAGAGCCTGATGTGCACCGCGCCGGATATGCTCAGCATCCTGCTAAAGAAGTGGTTGTTTATACATATGGGATACTTATACATATGGGCTATTTATACATGGGTTTCTTATACATATGGGTTATTTATATATATGCATTATTTATACATATGGGTTAGTTATACATAGGTGGGTTTTTATTTTTTAAGAGAACAGAAATTTATTGCATCACAGTCCTATATCAAGGTAGCAGAAGGGCCACCACCCTCTGAGACTCTGGGTAGAATTCTTTCTTCCTGTATCTTCCTTCTCCTCTCTTGTGAATCTATTGTAGGTTTTTTGATGAGTGGTTACTGGAGCTTATATAAAACTTCCCACCCGTTGAAGTTTTATATAAAAGCCCATTTTACACTGACTACAACTTTAATTTTATACAATAACTTCCCTTTTATTCCCTACCCTTTGTGTTGTTTTTCTTCTGGAAATACACAGATATTTTTAATGGAAGCAAAATGGGGGAACGGCGTCACAGCCAACAGGGATTGAGCTCAGGCAAGGCAGGGCCAGTGCTGTGCCTGGGTCATGGAAGCCACAGCAGCCTGGCTGCATGGAGCGGAGTGGGGGGGGGGCCTGGCCGTGGGGGGGCTGCGAGGAGCCGAGGCTGCCAAATTCATCCATGGGGAGGAGCGGAGGCTCTGGCCCAGCAGGTTCTGCGAAAACCTCAAGGGTGGACACCTGGCACCTCAGCTCCAAGTGGCTCTTCAGCTTAATTACTTAATCACGCCCGGCGAGTAATCAATCAACCCACCAGAATATAACCATAGCACGCTACAGTGAGCCTGCGAGCTGAGAGGTGGGCCGGGTGCGAGCTGAGAGGTGGGCCGGGTGCGAGCTGTAACTGCCTTTCCTGTACTACATAACCTGTACCTTCCTAGAGTGAAGGAGTTGACATTTTATTCATTGCTACCTGACAAAGGCAATAAAATACTATATGACGATTAAAAAAAAAAAGAGAGAGAGAGAGAGAGAAAGTTAAAAGCAGCAAGAGAAAGACAGTCAGTTACCTACAAGGGAATACCCATACGACTGTCAGCTGATTTCTCAACAGAAACTATGCAGGCCAGAAGAAAGTGGCAAGAAATATTCAAAGTGATGAATACCAAGAACCTACAACCAAGATTACTTTATCCAGCAAAGCTATCATTCAGAACTGAAGGTCAGATAAAGAGCTTCACAGATAAGGAAAAGCTAAAGGAGTTCATCACCACCAAACCAGTATTATATGAAATGATGAAAGGTATCCTTTAAGAAGAGGAAGAAGAAGAAAAAGGTAAAGATACAAACTATGAACAACAAATACACATCTATCAACAAGTAAATCTAAAAATCAAGTGAATAAATAATCTGATGAACAGAATAAACTAGTGATTATAATAGAACCAGGGGCATAGAAAGGGAGTGGACTGACTATTCTTGGGGGGGAAAGGGGTGTGGGGGATGCAGGAAGAGACTGAACAAAAATCGTGCATCTATGGATGAGGACAGTGGGGGCATGAGGGCGGAGGGTGGGGTGGGAAAAGGGTGGAGGGGAGCTATGGGGGGAAAAGAGGAACAACTGTAATAATCTGAAGAATAAAGATTTAATTAAAAAAAACACACATAAAAAAGCACTGTCATCCTTATTAGATTTATAGACACAAAGAGACTCATTAAAATTTAGCCAGTGACCCTGAGCTTGGAATAATTTCAAACTGTTACTCTCAGCCAGGGGTGGACTAAAGTCTAAGGAGCAATTAGGGGCAAATAAGATTGGATTCTGACATGTGGGGTGAGAGGTGAGTAGAAAAGAGTTGAGATGCTGATTGTGTGATGATAGATAATTTAAATCTAGCTAAAGGAATGATTTCTTCTTTGCTGAGCAGTCATAGTTATTCAGCAGGGTCAGCTGCCAGCAACATGATCATAATCAGTGCTTCTCAAAGTTGGGTGTACATAGAAATCACCTGAGGATCTTGTTTAAATGCAGATTCGGATGCTGTGGTTCTGGCCTGGGCCTGAGATTTCACAGCTCTAACTAGCTGCCAGGTGAGGCTGATGCTACTGATTCTCAAAACACACTTGAGCTATCAGAATAATGAGGATCTACTGGTACAATTGTGCTAATTCAGTATAGGGTGGCTACATGTGGATATTAAACACTGAATCGAGATGTGCTATAAGTGTAAAATACACATCAGGCATTTTTGT